ATAATAATAGTAATGATAATAATGACCGCTTTCTAGTTTCAAATGTATAACACGAGCCCGGGTAACGCCCGGCAATAATTTTCGATCTCGAATCTCTATTTTTTGATATCTTTCCATCTTTTTTTCCTTTTTCTTGCTTTTGTTATAATAATAATAAATATATTATGCATGTAATTAAATAATCTTAATTTACGACGACGCGCGCGACCCTCGACTCCTCTCTCTTTAAGTAAAAAATCGACTGAGAACTCATTGTACAAGGATTTACTGTGCTTTAAAATGTAACGTATAAATATGCACAACTTTTGCAACAAAAAAAAAATTTTTTTTTAAATAACTGCACGACGGTAACAAAAATGTTTAGTTGACAGCCTGTGTGTGTGGCATGTACTGATGAACAATCGAAGCACGAGAGAAAAATCATCGGAGGGAGGGTCGGCCAATCGCGCTCGTCTCACGAAGCTCTATCAACCGGACTCTAAAAGTAATTGTTTGTTATTATTATTTTTTTTTCTTTTTTTTATCTTTACGTTCTTCTTGTGGTTTTATCCTCTACACGACTGCATATGTGAACTATTACAATGGGCCCGCGCACACGCGCTTCCGTCTTTGGATGCACTTTCGTACAACAATACGCTCTTCGTCCACTATTCATCTCTGTATATCACCACCCTTGAGTGTATACCATTATTTAAAAACGCGTGTACGTGGGCGTGTGTACAACTTTTTTTTTTTTTTTTTTTTTTATACGTTTGTTTAAGCGGCACGTTTACAAGTAATATCATAAATGTACATCGTAGAATTTTTCACACCTTGATTTTCCCTTCTTTTCGTGTTTCTTGCTTACTCTTTTTGTCTCTCGTGCGTGTAACTCTCTCGCTCCTCCTTCTTTCACTCATTTTTGTTCAACTGCTGTTTATTTATTATTAATAGTTTTATTAGTTTTTAAATCGCACCGATCCACCCTCGAGAAGTAAAATTTTATCTTACATTTTATTTTTCATCGCCACGTCTACTTTTATTATTTTTTTTTTTTTCTTTTTTCTTTTTTCTCATCAATTATATGTTTAAGTAAACTGAGAACTAAACAACGAGGTATTGGCAAATCATTTTTTTTTTTTTGTTTTTGTTTTTTCAACTTTACATACCATCACGTATGTGATAAATAAGTACGTGTCGCTTTGTTTTTGGAACAATGAAAAATACACTCGGCTCGATCTTCGCAGCCGCTATATACTTATTTCTAAATATCGCGAACACTCGTTAAATGAACAGCGTCGCCATGCGTATAAATGTAACACACATATGGACGATTAACTAAATCTGACATCTTATGCGCGTATTTTTATGTAAAAAAAGAAAATAACAATTATTATTTTGTTTTTATTTTTTTACTTTTTTTTTTTTTTTTTTTTTCTTGGCTTCCTCTATTAAGTACCGATGTATCGTTATCATTATGCACTTGTCCATCGCGCGAATTCGTTTTCCAAAATCAATGGTCTTCGACACTCGAGTGTCGAAACGACGATGTCCTTGGAAAAAAAGCGCATGCGTATGGCGTGAACACACTCACGTTTATACGAACGTATATATATAATATATATATATAATTATCGAGTAAAAGCTGGTGGTGGACACATTTAAAAAAGCACGCGACGGATAACGATTTATTGTTATATTTTTTTTTTTCTTTTAAATCAATATTCGTGTTGCACGAATCAAACACAAATGCCACGGAAACAAACACGAAACATTTGTCGTTCGAAGAATTTATGATCCTCGACACATTTTGCCTTTTTTTCTTTCATTTCGATGGTCAATTTGATACGAATCGGTTGTCCCTTTATAATCATCGACGAAATTACGGTCGTCATAAGCCTACTAACGATATTATCAATCAATATGTTCAAACCCCCGAAAAATCTAAAGTAGGACAGGATCAGCTAAACTGAGTATTAGCGAGAATAAATTTTTCCGGGTTTTCGTTCGGGTCTACTTGTGACTATCTTATTTATTTATTTTTTTTTTTTTTTTTTTTTTGCAAGCGACGCTATCAGATTTTTTTCCCCTTCCCAAATCGCTTGATCCCCATTCAATCAAACGATCTCTTTCGCCCCATTTGCGTGCAATTTCCATTTTTCTTTCCTTCCGCCTCAGATTCTTGGTATTTACTCTACGGAACACTCATCGCTTACTTTCCCAGCTTCACCTCATGCTCGGATTTTCATTTTCAATCGGCATATATATTTTTTGCANTTTCTTTTGCAAGCGACGCTATCAGATTTTTTTCCCCTTCCCAAATCGCTTGATCCCCATTCAATCAAACGATCCATCGTTTTACACGAATTGCTGTTCAATTTAGTTTTATTTCGCGTGCGCTCCGACACTCTATAGGCGCCTCTTCATTAACGGAACACATCGCGACGCGGAAGTACTTACGGAACACCATTGGGATGGAACAACATATTAATAAGGTACAGCGAGCAGTTTGTCTTGTTCCTCCGTATCGGGGTAAAATGAGAAAAACAAATTTTATTTTCCAACCGGAGCAGGGGATGAAGGAGGGGTGATGCGCAGCGACCCTCATCGTCGAGCGCTTCTGTATCCATGTTATGTAACACGACGCGGCCGCCTCTTACGTAACGAAGCTATAGGAATATTTTCCTCGCACCTACCCCCCATTAATTGTTTCGAGCATTTGGACACCGAAACGAACAGCAGCAACACGCGCTTCGGATCGGTAAGTCGTTTGGCGAACAGATCGGCAAAAGCAAGGATTGCGTCCGGGAAAAGAGGCCGCGCTCGCGTTTTTGTGCAATGCAGTAATATCGTCGGCCCCGCCAAGCTCCGAGGCATGCATACATACGTATAGTAGGTGGTACAATGCGCTGTAGCCAAAAGCGGCCCCGCGGATCGATTTGGCGCGTCCGTGAACTCGCTCGGGATATTCATCGGAGCGAGTGCATGTGCCGCGTATGCTGAAATCGTGCATTCTTCTTTTCGGGGGCTCGCGGTGTTGGAAAGCGCACGGATGGAGGGGCGAAAAGAGGCCGTGGGTGATGTATTTTTGATGGGTTGATTTTTTTTTGTTCTACGGTGAATCATGACGTCGCTTGGTGGTCGCGTCACTTGGTATGGATTGGCTAGGCGCTCGCGTGAAAATCAAGGAAAGGCTGACGGGCGGGGAGGTGGTGTTCTTGTCGTTTTTGTCTCCTTTTTATCTCGTCCAAATTATCGCGATGACGATCCATTGTCATTGTTATGCTACATGTCAACGTGTCATTGAGTTTATCATTTTTTTTTTTTTTTTTTTTTTGTCCTGTCAGCCACTTCTGACCTTCAGTATGTCTTTAAAACTGTCATAAACCTAAACCTAATTTATTCATTATTTGTTGTCGAAAAACGCTCCGCCATAAGTGCTTCGATGATGCTGATGTTGGTGGTGGTGGTGATTTGCCGCTGCTGAGGTATACAATGCGATGTGACGATGCGGTGTGTTGTTATACATATATGGGGCTGTTGTTGTTTGCTGCGTTGTTGCCTCCTTAGTCGACCATCAGCTCAAAGTGAACGGAGCCACGCCTTTCGATCCGATCGTGGATGATGTTGTGCGCCCACGCCTTGCACTCGACATTGATCAGTACACCATCTGAAGGAAATTCTTGTTAATTTTTTTTCCTTTTTTTCCCCCCCAAAGAAAAAAAAAAAAAAAAAAAAAAAAAAAAAAAAAAAAAAGGAGAAAGTCGACCAAATCTCAATCAACACAATTGAAAAACCTCGACTTTAATAATGTCCCCTTTTTAATGCACCTATCCATTTACAGATAAATGTTTTATCATGCTGAAAGTGATAAAACTCAGATTGTACGTGGTTTCAATGAATTAAAAAAAAAAACTTAAAATATCAAATCTCTGGTCTATACGTGCTTCCAAACCCCGGAATATATACGGAATAACGCGATTTCTCGTTCTTCTAAAACTACAAAAAATAAATCATCGTGATCGCGCTTTCCAGTTTGCCCCGCATGTAGAGTCGGCAAATTATTAATTAAAAATATACAAAACAATGTTCACATCGGTCGTACGCATGATGGAAGAATATGATTTTAACGTGGGGCAAAACGGAGAGGAGCGAGGGAACTTACACTTGGGCTTCTCGAAGAAGACGGCGACGAGGGGCGATAGGTAGCCCGGCGTGTTCGTGAAGGGGAAGTAAAAGCCGGGAAAGCCGCGGCGCGGGATGTACTGGATGGGCCCGATGTTCTCGACGTCGGCCGGGTTCTCACCCTCGCATGACACCCACACGGTGTCGCGATTCTGCGGCTTCAGGTTGGCAATGTGGTTCTTCAGGTCATTGGGCATGTTGGCGGGCAGCTTCGACGTGTCGTTGAAGAACTTGGGTGCCCAGCCGTATATCTGCGCGTTGGTTAATAAAAGGGCTGTGGTTAATATCTGCTTCTTTCTTTCTTTTTTTTCCATTCAAACGTAAAGGGGGGCCAACGATGAGGGTGCATTCGAATGGATCCGTACCTATTTGAAAAAAAAGGGGGGGGTGGGGGAAGGAGGGCTACTTACTTTGTTCAGCTTGAGGAATATACAGGGCGCGGACTTTTGGTAATTGTAAAAGTTTGGCTTTGTGCAGGGGTGCCAGTCTTGCACGATGACGTCGCAAACTTTGCCGGAAGGTGCCGGTTTGCCGTAGTCGCAGTAGACCCGGTTCTCCTGGTTGACGGCACCTTGGCCGGTCTTGTTGTAAGCTGCAACGGGCAAAAGTCGTAAAGATCAGCGCCAAACGGTGTGACCGTGCCTGGGCGCAAAAGGATAATAAACATCGTAACGTACTCTGGAGGAACTTGTCGAGAGCGCGGGACCAGTGGCGGAAGTTGCCCTCGTCGCTGGCCTTGTACCAGATGAGGGTGCTCTCGACGTTGCTCTCTGGAGGCATGGGCCGGAAGCCCAGACCCGGGTTGCTGCCGATCAGCGAGCTCTCGAGCTGCCACTTGGGCTGCTTCATGTCCAGCGTTTGCCAGAACACGGCGAGCATGCCGCCGAAGAAGCCGGCCAGCACAGCGTAGAATATCAAGTAGAACAGCAGGATCTTGCCTGGGGGGAAGAGGAAATTTTCACGGATTTCGTAACGATTAGATACAACAACTTTTTTTTTTTTGTTGTTTTTTTTTTTTTTTTCATCAAATGTTTCTAAACAAGGTCCAAAGGGTCAATCACGGAAGGACAAAGTGGTCAGTGGGACGCAACCTTTTTTTCATTTTTCATAACCGTTGACGCTTATACACCTCAAATTACGAGTAGAGAAAAAAACCAATTATGTTGTTGAAAAATAAAACGGAATGTGTCTCAAAATAATTGCTCGTAAAACAGGGCTGTTGGAATTTTCGATAATTCGTCCAAAAACCATCTTCGCCCCTGATTAAAAAATCCAATCCAAAGCATGCGATATAAATAAAGATTGAAAAAAAAAAAAAAAGTCTTGAGAGCCAATGTGACGAGCTGATGCGCGTTCACGTGGTATAGAAGCTCGATGGTCGAAGGGATCGAGATGAGCTTTAAAATAGACGTACCGTGACAATTACGATGCGCCGTCTAATTGGCCCGAATTGGTAACTAGTAAGACGCCGCGATCTCCGCCTCTGCGCGGTGTTGCGTGCATCTTCTACTATACACAAGATATGCATTTTGATTTTGCCGATCTGACGCTCGTTTTATTTCTCATCGCGCCATGCAATCGCTGGAGATCGCGAGGATGAGCTTTTTATTGATCGAGTTTGCTTTTTCGCTCCATCGTACGGCGTCGCGTGACTCTTCGAATAAAAGATAACACTTTTGTTTATTTATTCATCGCGCGCGCTGTTTTTTTTCATTTTCAAAGCATAATTCTACATAATTTTCTTGAACGGTTTCGTACAAGTATTGTTGAACGACTTTCAATCGAATGACTCTGAAATTCCAACATAGCGACAAGGTATACCAGGTTCAATAGCGTTTTTATGATAATTCGGTTATAGACTAGCATTTAAAACATCGTTAAATCCGATGCAGTTACAATGAATTCGTCATTCATAGTTTGGACAGTTCAAATTTTATCATCATCATTTTGTGCCTTTCTTTCAACGTACGAATATTTCTTTTAAAAAGTTTAATAATCACGCTTTTCATTGTTTAACACTTGAATAACAGGCGTGTTAATCTTATTTCAACACTTTAATCGTGAAATGGAGCGCAGAATAAGCAGTTAAAGGGGTTAATGGGTGTTATTACCATAAAAATAATGAGATGCCGTAAAAGCATTGGGTTTACGTAAAATTAGTAATTTATAAACAATGTACATTATCTACACGGTTTAAACAAGCAGGTATCATGCTTGGACTGAAAAAAAAAAAAAAAAAAAAATATGGTTGAGATCAAATTATTGGGAAAGATACTCTGAGTAAACCATTTTCGGGTCGGTAATACGTCCAAGACCAATCATCCCTCCCGCAATGTAATATACTCATAGACATGCAGTCACACGCACAGGCCTTGGCTCGCGCATCTTTGTAACAAATGAAAATTTATCACAGACTCGAGGGGGGGAGGAGGGGGATACGTTGTACGACCTTCGGATCACTCGGGAGACCTTTGAGAGAAAGAGAGATGGCCGTCACTACAGATTTGCCTCCTGCGTCTGGAAGCTCGGATTTTTTTTTTTACTTTCCCGATCGTTAATTGGCGTATATTCGTTCACCGTGGAATTAACAAAAAACACCTAAAATTTAAACATTCACCGTTCATTGTGCATGAAAAAAAAAAAAAGAATTTTCACAAATCTATAAATAGCAAGGATAGCGTGCGAGGTAAGAGAGTTTATGACTTTGGTTATATTTATGTAGTTTCAGCAAAGCAGAGATTGAAGCCCAACTTTGCCGGAACGAGAATTGGCCCGAGGGAGCAAAGCCAAGCGTTGGAAAACTTTTATCCAGGCCACGATCGGCCGATGGTGGCATCGCCGAGAATGCAACGCAAGGTTTTAGTGCACACGAATAACTGTCCGGGTGTTTCGGTGTGGATGCGAAGAAGAAGAGAAAAAAAAAATGAAAGTACCTACGGTTCCGATGTATACGAAGGAACAAACACCACACTTGGTACACGTGTACGTATATATATATGCCTGACATATCGATCCTATATAAACTACCGAGTGCACGTATATATACATATATATCTTCCCCCCTACATTTTCCATTTGACTTGTGTACATACGTGTACATGTCTACGGTTATCGACGTACACGCGTGCCCACGTATATATTCTATCTACAAAATATACGTGCGAATGAACACACGACCCATGCATGTCTGTCAACGCTCGCGTGTGCATACGGATTCTTCCGCCAGTACAATGTATACACTTGTATACATTCGAGAAGAAGATACGTGTACGTACAGAACGACATCTTTTCCACCCTCTTTTTCTTCCCCCCCCCCCATTTCTCACTCTCTTTACAGGTGTGCATAATACATACGCTACGTGCGCGTTGCTCTCGTTTTACCTTCTTCTATACCTTACATGACCTGGCATGGAAGAAGAAGACAAAGACGAGTGCCTTCGTTTCTTCGCTGCGCGCCTCCTCGCTCAAAGACTCTATTATCACCCTCTGACGAGCCTATGTGCGCGCAAACTTATAATATGCTACCGAGTGCTAATTCGCGTTTGGGAGAGAAAAACAAAATAATAATAATAATTATAATCATCCATCGGTTTCATTGATCTGCGGCTGGTTTTCGTCCGCTGGCGCCAAAAACCTCCACTCGAGCGCCACGGATTATGTAATTTTTCATCCCGAGCTCGTAACGTCACATGTATCGCTGTTCATCGAAAAAAAGCAAATTTATATTTCTTCGATTGCTTTGGGAGAGGACGTGCACGTAGATTCGGATGGGGATTGAAATTGCGTATCAATCCATGGGAATTTCATTTCCAAAGGGGGCGCAGTTCAAATTTCTACAATAGTAGGGTTGAAAATGTGAACCTAACGCTATCGATCCCCTCGACCGATGGACACACGTCGGACTAAAACCGCGTTTGTACCCCGCAAAAAGGATGAGCCCTCAAATTCCAAAACAACGACTATATACACGTTTCAATTTAGGAGGGAGGGAGTAGAAATAAAATATTCTCCCCTTGCCCCGTGGCTCGATTGGCCGACACCCCGAAATCAATATACCCGCAACGTATTGACAATTGGAAAAAAAAAAAGAGGACTCGCTGTCAAAAAGAAAAACAATAAAGACAATAGTCGCGTCTTGGCCCCCGGAAAACCAGAACGCGCTGTATACAAGTACAAGAGATGTGTACATTCAAACGCACACCCTCATCACGTCGTCTATACGTTATACGCCCCTGTTATGTAACCCTCGCGTTGTCTGCACACCCACCTCCTCTTTGGAACACACACACACACACACGTGGAGGGTAGCGCGTGCGCCCTTTATCTTGGACCGTAAATCAAAGTTTATCGAGAAAGACAATCAAAATTGTGATTTTTTTAATTGCGCGTAATTCACGGGAAAAAAGGGCGAACTCTCCTCTGCTCTCCAGCCTCGAGCGTACACAGCCATACCCTCTTACGTTATCAAAATGTCCGACCAAAGCTCACTTGTATACCCTCTTTTGCGGATGAAAATTTCCCCGCTTGAATTTTTCCGATTTTTCGATACCCCGAGAGCTTTGCCGTACTCTCTCCAAGTGTGCGTATAATATGTATGGATGAGCTTTGCACATCACGTCACAGATGCCAGTGGCTATCCATTATGCAAGAAGTAACCCCCCCTCCCCGTTTTTTTCTTTTTTTTCGCTCATCATCGCCATAGCGTATTCCCCGGTGTGTGGGATACACCTCGACGGGAGCTTTTTAGCAAGAGGAGGGTGCAGTCGCCATGTTATCTGGCGGCGTGAGGAGCCGCGCGGGTAAAATCGATATGCCAGCGACTGGAGAAGTTTCACCCCAACGACCACGACGATGACGATGGCATTTTTAGTGCGTAACAAAGAAACCCGGAGGCGCGTGGCCTTGGCTGGAGGGCGAAGGTGCCGGGAGAGCATTAAAAAAAAAAGAAAAGTGGCCATGCCCAAAGAGCCCCCAACGGTTTCTTCGAACGGATACCTCGGTGCGGCCGGCCCGGGGAAACCGTAGAAAATCCAAGCTCCTCTTCTCGCGTCGGGGGGGGGAGATCCCTTTCTCTCTCGTGTGCGTACATGCACCGCCACATCTTGGGCTAATGCAGGTACGCGCGTAGGTGGCACGCCAACCGCTCGCTTCGGACGGCAGAGGTCTCATCGACTTTAAGGGGCTGATCGATCAGTTACTCCCTCCCCTTCCCTCTCGCCCTCTTTTTTTTTTTTTTTTTTTTTTTTTTTTGCCGAAAACGCCAGAAATTGCGCTCCGGAAAAGATGAGGCGAACAATTGAGACTGAGCGCGGATACAGGGTGCCCCCCCCCCCTCGATGGCTCAGCGACACCTTTGAAGATATTGTATTCAGAGAATAAGAACAAAAAAAGTAAAGATTTATTAAGACTTTGAAGGCTTTTATAGCTGTATTTAAAGTTGAGAGAATAAGCAAACTACACCAATGATTTAATAACGAATCGATTGGCGCACAGAGGATCCGACGAGGGTACGACACACGCATTGATTTTTCCAGCTTTCCCCGCGACCGATGGCGCCGCAAAGCCTCGCCGAGTCGGCGGTGATGTCGAAGCCCCTCTCTCTCGAAAGAGTAAGAGGAAGAGAGAGAGAGAGATTAATCAACCCCCCCCTGCCGCCGACGAGTCTATTCCAGGGCCGGTCCTCCGGTACGCGCCCATCCGCGAGTACCCCAGTAGATGAGGTAAGCGTTTGGTGCGCCACCAGGTCGGGAAGGATACGGTGTAGGAGAGAGGGTGTGGGGGAGAAAAGACAAAAAAAAAACAAAAACAAAGAGAGAGAGAGAGAGAATAATTGGACTCACCCCAACTGCCGAGGGTACGGCCGAGTATTTGGCCGGTCTCCGAGTTGTAGATGAAGATCCCGAGGCTCTCCCACTTGCCGACCTCGGGCGGGGGCGAGTAAAATTGCTCCTTCTTGTCCATATCGTTGTGCCTACTGCTCGTTTAATCGTCTCCTCGTACGAGTATACGTACGCTGTTTTTTGTTTGTTTTTTTGTATCCTCCGTTATACGGTAAATGCCGTGCACCAACCAAACAACAACAACAACAAAAAAAAATTCCCACGAGACTTCCTGGCTCCGGAGTACGTATGACAATCCCCTCGGCTCGTGTGTGTCTCGGGCGGCTCGTTCTCTCTCTCTGTGCTCCCTATCGGCCGACTAAACTGCTTCTTCTTCCGTCTCCTCGTCGCGCGGTCGCCGTTGCTGCCACCTCCACCGAGGGATGAATATTGAGCGATCCAGAGCCGCTCTTTCTCGACGCGGAGCCCCCCCCCACCCCCTCCTCCACCGTTTCCACGCATGCTCCAGTTGCCACCGCCTCCCTTCCTTCCTTCCTCCAACCCTCCCGGCTCGTACGCAGCCGAGATGTCGTGTGGGTTATATATATTGTATATGCCCTATACGTATACGTGCACGCATTTGCACCGAGTTACGTGCATGTTATACATGTAGGCATGAGAAAAAACGACAAGAGTTGTGTAGTACGGAGTGACGTCGCGGTGCTGCACTACACGCTAAATGGTGGTGGTGTGCCCATCGATAGATGCACGGGGTTTTTGTTGTGTGTGTGTGTATAAATATTGTATATACGAGAGGACAGAATACACACACGTTGCGCGCTGCACCCCTGCACACGTCCGTGTGCATGCAGAAGAGGGAGCTTCGATTTGCGCGCACCTCCGTGCAGGTGGCTCTTTCTCGCGCATTTTGCCGGCTGTCCCTAATGGTTTTTTTTTTTTTTTTTTCTTTCTTTCTTTCTCTTTCTTACCCCACACACCCACGGTGTACGTGATGCAGCGGATGCGAGGAGCTATCGCACCTGTGTGTGTGTGGCTAACAAAGTGTGCCCATGGAGCTTTTGGCTTTTTCTTTGTTCGACTAATTCGACCGAGAGCTTTTGGAGATATTCCATACACATACACACGCTGCTCCTGGGTTTTTGGAAGAAAAAACAAAAAAAAAATTCTGTTTCGCTTGCACATGATATTTTTTTTGTCCCCTCCGTTGGTGGTGAAACCTCGTCTCCTGTAGCTTCCCCTCGTCTATACATGCCGCAAACGGCGCCGTTACGTAACGCTATCTCCGAAGAGAGAAATAGAAAAAGTGTAGCGTATATATTATACCCTTGGAACAAAAACAAAAAAAAAAAAAAAAAAAAAATAAAAGCTGCTCGGGTGCGGCGATAAGTGTACCGTTGGTGTACGACCGTAAACGCTTGATACTACTGAAAAGGTGATTTGGATGTTTTTGGTCCGCGCTGCAGGGTGTCTCAATAACTCATTTGAAAGATAAAGTAATAAACGAGACGAAAATAAGCGTCCAAGTGCTGCTGAAGAAGGATGTTTTAGCCACTCGATTCTATATATATATATAAAGAGAGAGAGAGAGAGAGGAAAAGGAAAAACAGATCGATCGGACGATCATGCGCGAATCAGTAGAAAAAGACTCTGCGTGGTAAGACGCACGATTATCCCTTTTAATGAGTGTGCGGTATTTCGTACAGAACAAATGTTGCTGGTGCTAATGAAACAATATTAATGCTTTACCGTTTCCTTAAACGTGTTACGACAAATCAATTATTTAAGCAGCGTATATGTATACTTGAACTGCTGTTACTACTGAATTAACGATACGGATGGGTTGTTCATCAGTGGGTGTATTTTCGTTGCGAGGAATAAATGGTTTTGCGAATATTTCGATGACGACTAATGACGCCATGGATTTTTTACCACTTAAATCAGCTGTACACGTATAATTATAATAATCTCGTCGCTACATGTATATCGTTTCGTCCTTGCGCTTTTTTGCAACTGAAATCGTAATTGATGCGTACGTGACATTTATTACGGAGTAAAAAATACTTGGTTAAGCAAACACGTCTCTACTAGAACGTATTGAATGATAATTCTCTAGTCGATATTTTACAAAAGTATTTGTCAAACGAACTATATACTATTATGTCATTGTCCCATCATTTTTTTTTTATTACCATACACCAATGCTGAAAAATTAGAATTTTAAACTAAGTAATGTCAAATAAGTCAAGAACAGTAGTTTACGTAATTGTGAAATTTTTTTTTTTTTTAACTTACAACGAAACAAAGCAAAATAACGATACTCGTTGAAAAAAACGTCAATTTGGTTGGTAACATTTTTTATTAAATATTTTATTACAGGAGGTTAAAATATCCATAATGCATTCAGATAACAGAATTTACAAATATATCTCGATAATTTCCGTATATATATATAGTGTGTATATACACATCACATGTTCGTATGTAAACTCTTTTATAATTTTCTATATATTTACATGACCTAGTGGCACACGAAAAAAATTTCATTCAAAACTCGCGCGCACACACTCACACACACACACATCAAATACGCTCTCGACACATCACAGCAAAAAACCCACGTTATATTTTCGTGTTCCGCAAAATTCATTTCTCTCTCTCGCACCGCTTAGTTTGGATCCGTCGTCGTCAAGCGGCAAACTCTCAGTCGCATTTTTGTTATTTTTTTTATTTTTTTTATGTTTTTTGTTTTTTTGTTTTTTGTTTTTTTTTTTTTTAATTAATTTTCTGACTCACGCAAATATCCGTGAATTCACAATATAATTCATTTTTTTTTTTTTTTGCACCTTTGAAACTAGTCACTTAATCAATCGCTTTCCATCTCACTTGCACAATATTTTCTATATTCTCTTACGCACTTGCACACTTCTCAGGCACACTCGAGAACTCCCCCATCCCGCTCGATGATAAATATCTTTTCATCTTTCTTTTGCTATTTTTTCATTTTTAATCATTTTTTCTAAATTTTTTTTTTTTTTTTTTGTTACCTACATACTTTACAATCGCTTATATAACAAGTATAATAGTCGTCGTCGCCGCGCTGCTTTACTCATGCAGAGTTCCCCGGGTTACCGTTTTTTGGGAAAAAAAAATCAAACGAACCCGAGCCGAATATACGCGTACGTCGCACTCATTTTTTTTTTCGCTACATCATATTTCATTCACTCCCAATTAAATCTATTTATTGATTTTTGTTGTGTGTGTGTACACCATCGCGCCACTAAGTTTTCGCATTTTACGGTAAAAAACATTGCTTTATAGCGCTTCTTCTATTTATTCGATAATTTTTTTTTTATTCAATACAAAAATTCGCCAAATTCATCGGTTCACTCGACACTTGTACATATATTTATGCGTGTAAAAACAAAAGGAGGCAATGATTAAATATACAAAGAAATTTTTTTTTTCTTTCTTGTACTGATGCATCTGACGAGACAGTCAATCAATATCATTATTATTATTGTTATTGTTATTATTATTATACGTTTTTTGTCATCGCGCAGTATATAAGTACTTTGAACTGTGCTGAGATTTCGAGGAAACATATGGCTTTTACTTTTTTTCTTTCTTTTATTTTTTTCATTCATATATCTATCATACTTAATAATGAGTGATTTCACAAAGAAACAGTGCGCACACGAAGTCAGTTGTCCTCAGTATCTGCGTACAATCATTTTTTTTTTTTTTTTTTCTTTTTTTTATTTATTTATTTATTTATCACCACTGTCGCGTGCTTTTTCATTCGACAAAAATCATTACAGCACTGTTATCATAAATGAAAATGACAATGCGATCAAACGACAATGACAAATGAATCGTATAGGCGTGAGAAGTGAGCTTTAATTGATGAAAGCAATAAGGGATTAATCATGGAACAAAAAGAAAACAAAAATAACTATTGTTATAACGGTAGTGGGAATTATTACTTGAGAAATTAAATCATCATTATGCGACGAAAATCCTAACGCGTCATCTCTTATTTGTACAAAGGAAAGTTGGAAAAACTTTTTTCCTTTTTCAGATAAAAATTCATGCCACGCGCATTACAAAGACAATGATTGTATACATTGGAAGATTTTTTGTTTTCCATTCGTAAATACGATTTTGGTAGTGAATGTGATTCCACGAGACATAACTTATCATGTCGGAGGGTTCATATTTGCTTGGATTTGCGAATTAACGGCCTTCCAACACACGCACACACACACACACACAATCACGTGTATCGCTTTGTGCCTACATGTTTAACGGCAGTTAATGATCGATTAAGCACTCTCGCAGATTTTTTTTTTTCCTTCTTTCAAATACACCTGTTTTACAAACTACAAAAGAGAAGAACTTCATTATACGTATACAACAGTACTAGTACTACTTGTACTCGATAGTCGCAGTGAAAAACCAAATGGCGCGATGTACTTTAGTATTGCTCGTTCTCTGAAAAGTGAAAGAAAATATACTCGTCATCTCTCAAGAGGTAAAAGGGGAGGCGGGGGAAGAGCGATAATTGCTTCGTATTTGTTTTTCGTCACACGAGTTCCTGCAACGCGTCAACGGCAGGAACGTTCACCGCTTTCGCAATTATTCTATCCTTGCGTTTGCATATTTTTTTCGAAGTAAAGCTTTTACGCACCGGTTCGCACGGTATACACTGAGCTAGTGTTGGTTTGTCAAATTGAACCCGATAATTGACCATCGTCTTGTTTAACCAAACAAATCAAATACATGTTTAATAGTCCTTTTTTTTTTTTAATGTGCGTTATTAAAAACGTACAGAGTTTTAAAAAAATTTTGAGTATTCGAAACAATATTTAATATATTTTGAATTGTTGATTTTTCCAATAGTTAAACCGATAATTTTCCAGTATACTGTTAACTATAATCAGTAGATATGATTGACAATAAGACAAGACTGATAATTCGTCCAACACCAGTGAAACGTTTACTTCTAAAAAAAATGACTGAAATATGTACGTATGTATGTATACATTTATAATTATCGAGAATTGGCTATTACATGTTACTTTGATATCAATCTAAAAACACCATCGCTTGTGCAACAATATTTAATAGCTATTAAAATCATCGGCTGTAGTTTCGCTAAAATAAAAAAATCATCCGCGTTACAATAAATTCATTCAATGAACGGTGATTATTTTGCGTGAAGATTAAACGAAACTGCAGTCATGTTTTCTTCATTTTTTTTTTTTTTTTTTTTTTTTTTTTTTTTTTTTTTTTTTTTTTTTTTTTT